TTATCCCGATATGGTTGAGTGGCATATATACACGTATGAGGAAGTGATTAAACGGCAGTAGATTGGGTCGTGGCTACAATAGAGTCAAGACGCCTGTTAAGTACACAATACAGTTGATTTTAGGTAAGATGTTCTAGCAGGTGAAATCAATCGTATAAACAAAAGGAAACAGCAGAAGAGTAACGACTGAAGGGAATGTTTGATGGTGAGCTGAGGTATGTAGTAGGTATGTAGATCACTGTTATTTGGCGGTTGGAGGATTGTTTCTTGTGTGTTTAAGTCGTTGGGTCTACATGGTTTCATCCCACTGGAACCTTGTGCGAAATACGCATTATGTCGGAGAGCGCACGTTAAATCTCCAAATCATCAACATCATCGTCATCATCATACCCGTGAAGATCCGGGTTAGAATTGATCTTCCGTAACCCATGCTTGTCGTAAGAGGCGACTAACGTGATCGGGTGGTCAGGCTCGATGATTTGGTTGACACTTGTCATTGTATCCCATTTGCGTAGATCGATGCTCATGATGTTGATCACTGGATTGTCTGGTCCAGACTCGATCATTTAAAGACCGCCACCATATAGCTGGACTATTGCTGAGTGCGGAGTAAAACTTAATTCACTCACTCACTCATCCTCCTCCCACTGGATTATGTGGCCAGGGTTGTCACGGATATAGTCTGGATAATCTGACAAGTCTCCTGGTTAGTTACAGAGGCACTGTCCAGGTGATGCAAGTCGTAGTATTGGATCATTCAAGTAAAGTGCGAAATATTTTCTTCATATACATACACTGTGTTTCCCGAACCAAACCTTTACTATAGAACTCCCGTTACATGTAGTACATACATGTTTGGTGCAATACACAAACACCTTACTGTCACTGGGGATTCCGGATCCAACAGATTGATTAGCAATGATCAGGTGGTTGGGTCCAGATCTTCCAGCACGCGTGATACCTCTGAAATATTACCAAGCCGACGACTTCATGGATAACAACGTATTTCCGATGTAGATTCTTACTTTGTTATCTTATCTTCGTTAGTTGCCAACTTCTGGAAAGCCGATCAAACAATTAGCTGAAACGTTGTTGACTCACTTTAATTATCCGGTTTTAATTAATCACGGATGCTTAAAATCAAAATATTATATATTGCTTTTAATGCTTATATTTACAGTATGGTTACTATGTAATCAGCGTTGAGATTTAACCTGCCTGTTAACTACCTGTTTACATACTCACTCACTCATCAAGAGCGGTTTTACAGAAAACATGTCTGTGTTTTAATATGTTACATTTTGCACGATTTCCTCGAACGTAAATTCACCAAAACGGTTGCAGTAGACGCTATGGAAAACCGTATGTAATTAATTCAAAATTAAAGATGACATGTACAGTTCGCTCGGAATGTCATCAATCATTTGACCACAGGTAACTTCATGACGTCAGAAACTTAATATATTATCAGTTTAACCTTCAGTTAAAAAAACGAATCGCCTTTAGATGGATGGCATCTTTCTTTGGAGACAGAAAAGATAGTCCTCATTTGCCAAATATATATGAATATATATATATATATATATATATATATATATATATATATATATATATATGGCAAATGATATATATATATATATGAATATATATATATATATTTGGCAAATGAGGACTATATATATATATATATATATATATATATATATATATATATATATATTCATATATATTTGGCAAATGAGGACTTCATCAAGTTCTCTGGAAACCTGTTTCTGAAGACTACAATTCATTACCTATCAATATTCTGATGTTGAATATTTTAATAATTGAAAGGAGTCATTGCCAATCAAACCTTATATCATCTTTTCAACAACAAAGTACATTAAGAGGTACATACATTATTGGTATGTCCTCACAGATATATGAAAATTTCTCCCACTGAGTCTATGTTTTCTTTTTCAATAAAACGTTTTCTAGATTTTTGAAAATTATAACACTACGTGACTTAAACAGTTATACTTGAACACCTCTTTTAGTTCATGTTTTCAGATCGATACAAGAAGCAGTTCGTTATGAATGCAGTGCAAGCAATACCCAGGAACAATGGGGAAATGGATTCATGTTTGACTTGCATCTCCAATGTGTAAAACCAAATAAAAATGCCAAAATGAATTTAGCATTAACCTGAATGGGTAGAACTATCTTAATTCGACATTTTGAGTGTTTTCTTGCTTGTTTTCTGCAGAGGTTGTGTTGACCGATCAATAATTCGCGATAAGATCGACACGTAACGAGAATTTGTAAACACAAGAATATCTTGTATTCAAGGCTGGGCTGACACAACATGGTATCTTATTGACTTGACAGTTGACAAGACATTGTGTACATCTCTAACCAAACTGCTTGGAAACCAAATGCCGACGATGCCAAGCTCCCTTAAGATACTGATGTAGGTGGATGTGTCTTCGTTGGTAGTGGGTAATGAGAAAGTTCCTTTCAGTGATTCCGTGAAAGACCTTGGTGTTTTTCTAGACTCAAATTTATCCATGGAAACACACGTAAACTCTGTTTGTAAGTCATGCTATTTTCATCTCAGAAATATTGCTTCCATTCGTGATATTCTGACATTTGATGCAGCTCACCACCTAGTTCGTTCACTTGTTCTCTCACGTTTGGATTATTGCTGCAGTCTTCTTGTAAATATCCGCCAAGATCTATTGTCCAAGCTCCAGAGGATTCAGAACTCTGCGGCGCGATTGATTTGCCGAGTCAACAAGCGCAGTCACATTACACCATTGCTGATACGCTTACATTGGCTGCCCACGAAACAGAGAATAGAATATAAAATCCTCACTCTCGCTTTCAAGTGCCTCGATGACAAAGCTCCAATCTATCTGAAAGATCTCCTCAGTGAATATGTCCCACCACGGCTTTTAAGATCAAGTTCTAATTGTCAGTTGAATGTCCCCAAGGTCAGATTAAAGTCATATGGACATAGACAGTTCTCTTACACAGCTCCCCTTTTCTGGAACTCACTGCCTCTTCACACATCCGACAAGCCGCGTCCGTGGAATCTTTCCAGTCCCAACTGAAAACTTTCCTTTTTTAAACAAGCTTATGAACTTTAATCCTTTCTTCAGATCACTCTATCTTTTAGCGCCTAGAGAAATTGCCTTGCAGTTTGATTTGTGCGCTATACAAGAACACTTATTATTATTATTATGATGTTTATAGTTGTAAAACAAGACGTAATTGTCAGGTCTGTCAGAGAATGAAGGAGTGAAGAGATGCTGAAGCTTTGAACAGTATCAGCCTGATGTTGGAGAGTATCCAGTCATACAAGGTCGCAAAAGTTTATACAATGGTGACACCAACGAAAGCGAATTTCATTATGACAAAGGATTAAGGACATACTGTATGTTTCTGTATTACTTTTGACTTGCCTCTACGTGTGTTTGTGACGGATACCGCCGTCGTGACAGGATACGTGACATTTTGTACGAAGACGATGTTATTACTATCTGTCAGTGACAAGTAAACAATCCTTATTACATATTCCAAATCGTCGAGTGGACTTTGTTTTTAACATAGATTTCCTATGATAATGGAAAGAGCTTTGTTGAATCTATTACAAATTTCTACTTTCATCACTGAGTTATACTTGCCAAATAAATTATGACTAACAAATTGCAAACCTAAAAGATTATTATCAAAAGGAACCTAACAACAGTACACATTAAGGAGTATTGAGCAAATTTTGCACATTATCTTGTTTTGACAATTGTGAAGGCAATCAGATAATCTATATTTTCAAAGTTATTGATTCCATTAAAAACACTGTCACTTACATTAGTGTCAAGAATCAATATTAAGTACAAGGAAAAGATTATCACCAGAAAATGTCAGAAAGAGCACAAACTTGAAATAAAAGAAAGAATATTTCCACAGGGCTACAAAATACTTTAAAGGGCGTGTGGTTAAGAGTCGACCATTTGATATACGTTTGGTCAGTAGAAAGGTTTAACAAAAATACTAATCTTCAAAAACCCACACAAAAATCTATGTTGTGTGGTGGATTAAAAACCAAAAATTTAACATTTGGCCTCTTATCATTTGGTTTTATTTTAAAAAATAACTGTATTGCGATATATTGGGAGCCTAAGTGTTTCACAGTGGGTGACATCGATTGTACATGCAGAGCCTATTTTCAACATGCTAAAGGCTAGCCTTAAAAATAAACTTAATGGTTGTGATAACAGAAATATCGAATTTAGATTTGATTTTGAGGGATTGTATTTCGTTTTTTATAAAATGTATTGTATGTAAAGTATGCTATTTTGTCAGTCAATTACAATGGAAAACGTCAGTGTGAATGAAAGTCTGTAGATATGGACTTAAACCATAAAGATAATTACAAAACTTCATATATTTTTTGTTATTCAATATACCGGTTCTGAGAAAAACACTGCAATACGTATCGTTTGAAAGCGGTAATACCGTGCTTTCTACGGCATTATAAAGCTGTATATTATGGCATATTTTCTGTTTAGTTGTACGAGAGTCTGGGAGTTAGGACGAAAGCTGAATCTGCAAATGCTGACATATGTTTATATGTCAGGATAGATAAATAACATTTTTGCGCACTACATATTTTCAAATATATTATTTATGACTTTTGTCGGTAAGTTATAATATTCTTCCGCTGTATTTTATATTTTCTCGCTACGTGACCTTGTTTACATGATGCACAGTGACTGATCTAAATAAAATAGAATACTTTATTATCGGTGATATGAAACATTTCTATAGACTTATTTCTCTGTTTACCAATAACATCCAATATATGTTTTATCTGGCAAATAAGTGTTTTGGAAATCATCATGCACCCGGAATATGACGACATCCAGTGTCCTTCTGTTTGTGCAGGATGTATCGAGATGAACTTCATCGTTTTGCTCCGTGTTTTGTTCGTGTAGCTTCTGTGTTTTGCCTTGAGCGACGTGTTTTATAACTCGCTAATTTGCACATGGCTATTGATGAAGTGATAAATGTTGCATAGCCTGCATAATCAAGAGACAGTTGTCAATATTTATCGAGTCTTATCCAAATTATAGTTAGATGTTTCTGATCATATATCATTAATTGCCAGAAACCTAATTTTAATAAGGTGGTAATTATTGGTTATGGGAAGGTGGGCGAAGGCCTGAACATACCTGATCGGCAGTCAGTGACAGAGAGTTGTTTATGTACATCCCCGTGAGGGAAATATAACTGTTATGCAATGTAAAGTAACAATCGTGTGGTTTATGTACCTCCATGAGAGTAAACACAAACCCATGAGGAAACACGTGATAATAATGCTGTTACTTGTGCCCCTCTCCCTGTGTAGACACGCAGCAATTAGGACATACTAAGCATAATCAAGTTATACCCCTTCCAGTGAATAAACCCATAGCATTAGGCCATGTAAAGTATAATCATGTTATACCCCTTCCAATGAATAAACCCATAACTTCAGGTCATGTAAAGTATAATCATGTTATACCACTCCCAGTGAATAAACCCATAACTTTAGGTCATGTAAAGTATAATCATGTTATACCCCTTCCAATGAATAAACCCATAACATTAGGCTATGTAATGTATAATCATGTTTTACCCCTTCCAGTGAATAAACCCATAACATTAGGCCATGTAAAGTATAATCATGTTATACCCCTTCCAGTGAAAAAACCCATAACATTAGGCCATGTAAAGTATAATCATGTTATACCCCTTCCAGTGAATAAACCCATAACATTAGGCTATGTAAAGTATAATCATGTTTTACCCCTTCCAGTGAATAAACCCATAACATTAGGCCATGTAAAGTATAATCATGTTATACCCCTTCCAATGAATAAACCCATAACTTCAGGTCATGTAAAGTATAATCATGTTATACCACTCCCAGTGAATAAACCCATAACTTTAGGTCCTGTAAAGTATAATCATGCTATACCCCTTCCAATGAATTAACACATAACATTAGGCCATGTATAAAGTTTGTACCCCTTCCAGTGAATATAATCATGTTAAACCACTATAATCATGTTATACCACTTCCAGTGAATAAACCCATGAACCCCTTCCAATGAATAAACACATAACATTAGGTCATGTAAAGTATAAAACCAGTGAATAAACCTATAACTTTAGGTCATGTAAAAGTATAATCATGTTATATCATGTTATACCCCTTCCAATGAATTAACACATAACATTAGGTCATGTAAAGTATAATCATGTTATACCCCTTCCAGTGAATAAACCAATAACATTAGGCCATGTAATGTATAATCATGTTATACCCCTTCCAGTGAATAAACCCATAACATTAGGCTATGTAAAGTATAATCATGTTTTACCCCTTCCAGTGAATAAACCCATAACATTAGGCCATGTAAAGTATAATCATGTTATACCCCTTCCAGTGAATAAACCCATAACTTTAGGTCATGTAAAGTATAATCATATTATACCCCTTCCAGTGAATAAACCCACAACATTAGGTCATGTAGTGTATAATCATGTTATACCCCTTCCAGTGAATAAACCCATAACTTTAGGCCATGTAAAGTATAACTATGTTATACCCCTCCCAGTGAATAAACCCATAACATTAGGCCATGTAAAGTATAATCATGTAATACCCCTTCCAATGAATAAACCCATAACATTAGGTCATGTAAATTATAATCATGTTACACCCCGTCCAGTGAATAAACCCAAAATATTTAGGCCATATCTACAATCATGTTGGTTATGTACTGCCCCCCACATAGCATTAGGCCATATCTACAATCATGTTGATTATGTACCTCCCAGTGTATAAAACCATAACTTTAGGCCATATAGTGAATATAAGATATGATCATGTTGTTTATGTACCTCCCAGTGAATAAACACATAACATTTAGGCCATATCTACAATCATGTTGATTATGTACCTCCCAGTGTATAAACACATAACATTTAGGCCACATCTACAATCATGTTGATTATGTACCTCCCAGTGTATAAACACATAACATTTAGGCCATATCTACAATCATGTTGTTTATGTACCTCCCGGTGTATAAACACATAACATTTAGGCCATATCTACAATCATGTTGTTTATGTACCTCCCAGTGTATAAACACATAACATTTAGGCCATATCTACAATCATGTTGTTTATGTACCTCCCAGTGTATAAACCCATAACATTAGGTCCTGTAAAGTATAATCATGTTATACCCCTTCCAATGAATTAACACATAACATTAGGTCATGTAAAGTATAATCATGTTATACCACTCCCAATGAATTAACCCATAACTTTAGGTCATGTAAAGTATAATCATGTTATACCCCTTCCAATGAATTAACACATAACATTAGGTCATGTAAAGTATAATCATGTTATACCCCTTCCAGTGAATAAACCCATAACATTAGGCCATGTAATGTATAATCATGTTATACCCCTTCCAGTGAATAAACCCATAACATTAGGCCATGTAAAGTATAATCATGTAATACCACTCCCAGTGAATAAACCCATAACATTAGGCCATGTAAAGTATAATCATGTTACACCCCTTCCAGTGAATAAACCCAAAATATTTAGGCCATATCTACAATCATGTTGGTTATGTACCGCCCAATGTATAAACGCATAGCATTAGGCCATATCTACAATCGTGTTGATTATGTACCTCCCAGTGTATAAACGCATAACATTTAGGCCATATCTACAATCATGTTGTTTATGTACCTCCCAGTGTATAAACACATAACATTTAGGCCATATCAACAATCATGTTGTTTATGTACCTCCCAGTGTATAAACACATAACATTTAGGCCATATCTACAATCATGTTGTTTATGTACCTCCCAGTGTATAAACACATAACATTTAGGCCATATCTACAATCATGTTGTTTATGTACCTCCCAGTGTATAAACACATAACATTTAGGCCATATAAAGCATAATCATGTTGTTTATGTACCTATCTTTATGTTCATGTAAAGTGTAATCCCTTTGTGTAAACACATAAAATTTATTCCATATTAAGCATAACCGTTATATGTGTGCCCCTCTACGTGAATTAACACACAGCATTTTGCCGATATATTGTAAAACCATGTTGTTTATGTATCTCCCCTATGTTTACAAGGGCCAAACACGCATCATAAACTTAATAAGACGGGCTGGAACCTGCTTCGGAGTCCAGAACCATGATGCCATCACACCCAGTTAGCATACCAGTATAGCATATGTTGTACCGACTGCAAAACGTAGGAACGACACCGTTACACCATTCCTTTATATATCTTCCGGGTGGTGGGGTAGTCTAGTGGTTAAAGCGTTCGCTCGTCACGCCGAAGACCCGGGTTCGATTCCCCACATGGGTACAATGTGTGAAATCCATTTCTGGTGTACCCTCCGTGATATTGCTGGAATATTGCTACAAGCGGCGTAAAACTAAACTCACTCCCCATATATCTTCCTTTTTAGAATGAAATAACTTATCAAAATTAAAATTTCGTGTTAATACTTCGAGCGTCCCTTAAGTTCATAACAAACCAGTTCCAGAATGTGTACGGTATAGTCGAGGCACGTGCAAATCACTCGTCTGAAGTGGAACAATATCTGCCTTGTATAGAGGAACCTACTATTAAGTGTGCATGTACTCTCTGTTTGAAAGATGTCTTTATGTTGTAGGAAACAGTGCACGGACTTTATGAACAGCGTCTTCTGCAGTAACAATGCTTACACAGCTACTGTGCCTGTGTTCGATCCCGGTTGTAACGTGCGGAAGTGGTTTCAGTAAGTACCATACTCCATTTCCCACTGTAATCAAGAATGTACTCTGCATGGTCCGCTAGTTCTGTCATGTCAGTCTAGATAAGAAGTAGCAAGGAGAGGTTTCAGAGTACTTCCGTCAACGGAATTCTGATGAACGACCGGGTCATTATACCTCATGGCACTAAGGAACATACACTCAATGTTTCAGAATAGTGAGTAACAAGGAAACGAGTGATAGCCTTGTTGGTTTCGAAGCACAACATTATTATTTTGTAACAAAGCAGAATATTGATGACTATTAATGTTTTCCTTCTCTGAGCCTTAGCAGAGGCTACCCGTGAAGATCCGGGTTAGAATATTGATCTTCAGTAACCCATGCTTGTCGTAAGAGGCGACTAACGGGATCGGGTGGTCAGGCTCGCTGACTTGGTTGACACATGTCATCGGTTGCCATTTGCGTATGCATTTGATCACAGGATTGTCTGGTCCAGACTCGATTATTTACAGACCGCCCCATATAGCTGGAATATTGTTGAGTGCGGCGTTAAACTAAATTCACTCACTCACTCACTTAGCAGAGGCAGTGGGTCCGCCCAGCAAAACTCAGTTTGTTGTAGCTTATTTTGTATAAACGTACAATCAAACACCGTTGTTTCGGACGTTGTGTCCAAATTACGATAGACTCAAAGCAAACGCATGGTCGCCTCATTTGCATTTTACGGTTGAATAGAACACTGGATTACTCGAGCATGTACGTAGATCCCTTCAGATTCGACACAATGGTATTTGACTGTATACATGGTTTGACAGATGGCAGTAGGATTCCTGGTCCTTCATGTCAATTGTTATCCAGAGGTATGCCAGATATGTGTTCCATGGTATTGACACATACTTGTATTGGAATGTTTTGGCAACAGCGTCAGCCTCAGTAAGTCCTGTGAATAATTCAGTACGGACTGGGCCTGAACTATATCTACGGCTATCCTTCATTGATATTTGATCCAATGTTTAGTTACATGTGTGGAAATGAACGGGAGATCTGTCTAAACCGACATGAACACCCAGGTGGGTTGTTGAACACACACCTAGGTATGTGGGCGTTCGCTATGATCAAACGTGTGTTGTTCATGGAGTGAGTGAGTGAGTGAGTGAGTGAGTGAGTAAGTTGGGGTTTACGTCGGCTATAGCAATATTCCACTAATATAATGATGGAGTACGCGGGCTTAACACATGGTACATATGTAGGCCTTTTTAGCTATTTAACCACCCTTTTAACTTTTAACAACCTTTTTACCCCACCACCCTGCGCAGACATAATGAGAGGAACTAGTTCGGGGTATCACACGGACACAATATTTCACTGGTTGTGATTGTAAACCAGTTTCAACAACTTTCAAGCATTTATTGCATGAATGAATGAGAATCACACCACTTCGTCGTGAGGATTATTTAGAGAATAACCAACATGTTACGAGGAATTACTGATGAGTCGCGAATCTTGGCGAGATACGGACACCGTTTGTAACAATGGACAGGACAACCCATTTTCCCGGGATGCTACTAGGTTATCCTACACATCAACCATAATATTCGTACAAGAATGGCTGTTTCCTGGCCTCGAATTGGGGCATCACCTCAGTCAGTCTATAGTCTAAATCCCCAAATACCGCACAATTCATGCATGACGTCATGAACGCCATCAAAGTATACATTTGATGACATCATTTTAAATGTATGTGATATCCGTTCAAATGACGTCATGGTTCTTGGGACAACTTTACAAATAATGAAAATAATTGAACAATAAGATCCAAACAGTCAACAGGAAGCAAAGGTTATAATATTTAGCGAGAACACTGCTTAGCCATCAACAAGCGTGAATGCTACCTGAAAGTACGTGCGATTCAGCCAAACAGAGCCCCGAATTTATTCTCTGAATTTGACCGAGGGCGTAAAAGTTACCTCCCCTTTACATTCAGCCGTGCGTGAGGTCGGCGAATGTTGACACGAGTTGCTAAGTTCTTCTTGTTAAATATTTATTCGAATGTTTCACAAAACGAGTATCCCTTACATGATTTATTAACGATGTTATGTTGGTCGACCTTCACCTTGATAGCTGGTCAGTTGCGACCGCATAAACAATAGGACAGTTTGGAGTAAAATGTCCAAAATCTGTTCAAAATAAGTTTGACTTGAACAAAAGTTTATGACGAACAAGTGGCTTACATTAGCTTGTGTTTGTGACAGGTGTCACGGGTGAGGCAGGATAGTCCTTCCCCTCTCGCGAACACCTGGTGTCATCACTATTTTAGAGTAAACATGATCGGAATCGCACAATCGAGTCCAGAGTATATGGATATTTCTAACAATATGAGTTCTAAATAATCTAAATAAAATCCAGTGCAAAGTATCTGGTACCAAGATCAGGACATATATAGAATATAGACTAGAATATATAGGATTTGTCTAACTTACTTTGTCTGAAATGTGAGCTTCAGTACCTCGGTAAAACAGTAAGTGGAGATGAACGACGATACAGAAAAACACTACTGACCACTGTAATCAACTGACGATGTATACCGCCAGTTGTCAGCAATGAATCTAAGAACGGTCGGGTGCAGTGACATTTAGTTTGACTTTATTTGGATTGAAGATTATGAACACGTGTAGGAGCTCAAACATATAGAACAGTATTCATGAATCAACGTAGAAGACAATTGCAGACGACTTATTAACTAACCAAAAAATCAATAACGATCTTGTCATCACACCTCATTCATTATTAAGATCATTTTCTAAACAGTGTTTATAAAGAGTTTTCTAAAATGTGAAATCTTAACGGTATTACGACCGCCTCCGTGGTGTAGTGGTTAGAGCGTCCGCCCGGAGTGCGGAAGGTCGCGGGTTCGATCCCCGACCGCGTCATACCAAAAGACGTTAAAATATGGTACTTGTTGGTCCCTGTCTGGCGCTCAGCATTAATGGGTACAACAAGGACTAGTCGGCTCGGACTCAGCATAATGTGTCTGAGTGGGGTATTCATGCTTCACTGCGGCATGGTATCTCAGTGGGCTAGCACTATAAGACCAGCTTAAGTCTGGGCTAGTACAAGCAGCCGCACATACACATACACACGCATGCACGTTGTCATATGAGCGAAATATTCTCAAGCACGACGTTAAACCCAATTCCACCACCACCACCACTTAACGGTATTACTATATATTCACAGTATTATATAATCAAAGAAGTTACAACAATGTTGAAACGAAGCAATATGGGCATTCAGGATATTATTCAAGGACAGTTTTCTATAGTTACACCATTATCAAGAAGCAAGGAGGAATAGACACAAGTCCTACCTGACAGCATGGGCATTGTGCATGTTATGACTAATCTCTTCATCTGATGGTGTGATGGCGACCACCTGTGTTCATTGCGACGTCTTATCGCAGTGATTTGTGCGTTAATTCCAGCCTTCACAGGTATTCAGCTTGAACTTCGTTGCAGTGTAATAATCTTTCCATGGAGGCACAGGAGCCATCTGTCGTTTATGTCACGCTGTTCAAATATGACATTGTGTCTGCAAAATCGATCCATGCAACCCAGCTTTTACACAAATCTATACAGAAAAGAAATATTACATGCAGTATCGCTTGACAAACGGGAGCAGGTGTAAATTAAAGCGACAAAACCACAAGAAATCTGAAAATAAAGTCGATTCCGACTGCACCAGGAGCATGTTTTTTTATGAATCACTATCAAATAGCGATGACACCAGGTGTTCACGAATACGTATGCAACACAGGTTCCTGTACAATCAACCAGAACATGTGTTTTGTCAACTTGTAGCTACTGAGACGAGCTGGTGGTATCAGTCACTGTTCATAAACATAATCTGCTGAAAAGGTAGGTCAAGTGGTTCAAAACGTCAATGCAAGAGAATGATCAGTCTCGATTTTCTGCAGTAAAGATTGGAAAGCGTCATACGTTTTACCTTACAATGACTGCAATGTGTTCATACCCAGATCTGTACTTTCTGGCAGTCCTAGCAGGTTTGATGCAAGATTCAAAGATTCAAGATTTTTAATTTGTTTGATGGGCATTTTAGACTGACTGACTGAGTTTGGCTTTAGGCAGCTTTTAGCAATATTCCAGCAACATCACGGCGGGGGGACACCAGAAATGGGCTTCACACGTTGTACCCATGTGGGGAATCGAACCCGGGTCTTCGGCGTGACGAGCCAACGCTTTAACCACTAGACTACCCCACACCTATTTCTATGGATATACAACTTCTTTATTCTATATAGGTGACGTTTCGACATATATTCTTCCTTGACAACGACATTAGAATCTATGTCGAAACGTCGCCTATACTAAAATGTATTACAACCTACTACGGTTATATCGAACACCCTCATAACTGATGAATATAACGAACTTAGCCTCGACAACGTTCTGTGCATTTTAGTAGAACTGCGTATAAAGAAATACGGTTATAACGAAATGTAGTTGGGTTTGTTTTAACCATAGTTTACTGGAATACATCTATCAAGAAATTGATGTTATTAATCGAATCAATTATTCACATGTTTTGTGAATGTGTACATGTGAAAACGTTGTGGCAGCAACTAAAAAGCCTGGGCCCGTCCCTCAAAGCGACCGTAGCGCTAAGATAATCGTAACTTCCATACTTTCACATAAACTTACGACTGTCGTAGCGCTAAGATCGCTTTGAGGAACGGGGCACTGGATTGAACAAGATACAGGCACAAGATTAATTCTGGATACAAAACATATCATCTTTGGTTATAAAGAAAAACGAAATGATGTATTAAACCTGATTATCATCGCAACAAAATACTATATATATGCAAAGAGATGTTCTAGATGATCCAGAGCTTGTTGGATTAAAACATTACCTACACAACCTGCATGAAATCGACAAATGTACTGCCTTTTCGCACTGTAACTACGGTAAATTCTTCACCTTTTGGTCATCTTGCCATAACCTCACATAAATTACAATAAAAATGTGTTCCGGCTTTGTACCACCAAATGATTCTCTACCACCTGTGTCCGTATTTTGTATATTTACATGTACCACAAACGCAACAATTATGTACCCATCATAAAGAAATATAGTGATAAAAAGAAGAAATTTATGCTTCCCGTAATTATCCATTACTTATATTTTTCTGTCATAAATGGCAACAAATAGAACTTCGAGACCAAGACTCTTTACCAGGACAGTAGAGCGTAGATTCTGTGGGTTTGTGGTCTTCATTAAGTTCGGCCAACTACCAAGGTACATGCAGAACCCTACATGCATGGATAAGCACTTTAAACACAACTAGTTTTCCATTGGAATCTAATACCACGATGACCGGATATTTGTTTGTGCGTTGTATATCTCATACCCTGGCGGGGCGGTGGGGTAGCCTAGTGGTTAAAGCGTTGGCTCGTCACGCCGAAGACCCGGGTTCGAATCCCCACATGGGTACAATGTGTGAAGCCCATTTCTGGTGTCCCCCGCCGTGATGTTGCTGGAATATTGCTTAAAGCGGCGTAAAACCAAACTCAATCAGTCAGTCAGTCATACCCTGGCGCTAGATTTGCATCTCTAAATACTGAACATTTCTGGGACTGAAGTTAAGTTTCGTTCCATTAAAAGCAGCATGAAAGACGACTCAAGTCGTAACCAACTCTCGAAGCATAACAAAAAGTAAACTGTCCTAAATCTATAGTTTTAACAATGTAAACATATTCGTCCTTGGATTATACCTCAGTATATCTTATTAAACCTCAAGAGTTTGCTAAAAGACAATACAAACATCGATCCTGCTGGAACAATATGTCGCTGGTTTGAAATATCGCATTTGGAATATGTACACAAATGTGACTCAAAGTAACGGCGAACGTTATATCAACACCCGTTATGTACACCGTATACAGTCATGTCTCATGTCAGCACGATGCTTGTTAGATTAAACATATATGCATTCAAACATACCCATTGCCATTGTTCAACCAGCACTTTCGCACTTCAGCTTTAGGGCATATAATATCAATACGTGAATACATGACACGTTTTTTTATGGATAACAACTTCTCTTTATTCTTTGTTTCAGGGTAATTCTCTGCAAGAATATGCTCTGAAACGTCGTACAAAGAATATAAAGAAGTTGTTATCCATAAAAACGTGTCATGTATTCATGTTCGTCAAAGTTCTGAATGCCTTTCAAGAACTTTAATATCAATACGCATCTACTGGATCGTGTGTCATTTCTCTCACCACTTGTGTGTGTGCATCAGTGTCTCTAATCAGTATCATGGTGCTATTGTGTAGCTACCTGAACACTGGCACTTTGTGGCAATTTGGAGGA